AACAGTTGCAAACTGTTCTTTTCCACTCACATATAACATACAATTTGGGGTCCCGCTGTAGAAAGTACCTTCTAAACTATCGGGGTGAAACATGTAGCTGTCTTTGAATCTCTCTTCTAAACCGGGACTGCATTGCTGCTGCCAGCTGTGGGCTGAGCGCCTTATCACAAGCCTGATAGGTCAATCTATAGCAGAGACTGACCTGTTCAGTCTCCGGATGCTGAAAACGGCCAAGGAACTGAATGGAAATAACAGTGCCCTGGGACACTGCTCGGGCTACAGTGTGAAACTCTAGTTCATCAAATCCTTTCTTTTTGTCTAACCAGAAACTAATATCATGCACGTAGCAAGGAGGATACAGGGAATAGCTCTTAAAGCGTTCTACTTTCCCAGGGGCAAATCTTTTCAGGAAACGGTTATCAAAAGTCCACAATATTCTCCAATCAGAAATGTCATAGACAAGCATGGCTAGTAAGTCCAAATTTATAGAAACAAACACAAAACACTGGTGTTCATGTGTAACACCTGTAGATGTGATGATATTCCCAATAATAAGATGCTCGGTACAATCTGGGCCAAAATTAAGAGACTTCACATGAATTATATGATCCTTTCCATTTGGTTGAAGAACAAACTCCACTGAAGCGCTCAAACTGGAGCCCTCCAGCAACGTCTCAGTTAGAAGGTTATTTAGACTACCCTTCAGGTGGTTCAGCAGTGATGCAAGGCAGCCATCCTTACTATTTTTATTTAACCCAAGGATAAATAGTGTCTCGTGAAATGCCGGCATCCTGAAAGGTAAAATGTGGCACTTCCGAAAGACAGGCCCACTGAGGACATGCAGGGAACCTGGGCGGAAGTCTGGTGACTGGATGACAGTGTCCACATGAGCTAGAAGAGAAGATCTGAGGCGCAGCTCGGCCTGCTCACAGATTCCTTCCTGAGCGGCTCTGCAGCCGTCTCTCCCAAGACTCTTGGGAAGGGCACATTCTGAAAACGACAGAATACCTTCCATTTCTTCTGTTTTTTCACCAGTCAGGGACTCAGAATGTGATTTATCTTCATGGAGACTAATCCAAAAGGCAGACACAGGGTCGCAAGTCCCTGGAGGGAGGACACTGGTGCCTCCCTGTGACAACAAAGGGAGGGAACACTTCAATCTTCTTAAAGGAAAATGTTTGCCCAGTTCAGCAATGAGTTTCTCATTGATGGTTTTGACAGGGTGACAGGAAGATGCTTCGAGGAACCGCCTGTTTAAACACATAAAATAATTTTTCATTTACAATAATGATTATAATTGCTAGAATTAAAATCACTTGTTCTTATTTAGAAAACAATTGTCCTTAAACTGATCCTGAAGTTAAATCATTTTTCATATGGAGAAATAGCGTGTACATTTTTTGAGATAACCTGTATATTTTTTTAATTTGGTTTGGGAACTTTCATTTGTTTGGTTGGTTTTGTTTTGTTTTTTTGTTTGTTTGTTTTTTGTTTTGTTTTGTTTTGCAATGATGGGAGCAAATTTTAGGCCTGGTGCATGCTAGGCAAGTTATTCTACCACTGGACTCTACTCCCAGGCCTGAGAATTACCATATAGTCTAGGACTCTGTCACCACCCCTACAGTGTATCAGCCTGGCTAGTACCCACAGCACCACCATCATTAACAGCTCATGGCCCATCCATTCAAAATGAAGTGACCACTAGGACAATCATGGCACAAGTAGGGACAGAAGTGATTTCCAGAAAACAGAAAGATTACCTGTTCAGTTTTCCTGCCAACGCTTCTGGCTCTGTACAGGAAAAGCACCGGTCTCCCAGTCTGACCCTGAATGCTCTGGGCTGACAGCCTTCCAAGGGTGAGCTCTGGGTGAAGACATGATTCACAGCGCCTTCTATGTGGAACGACTTCGCCTGGCTCCTGCCAAGGGAAAGGAACAAACAATTTCTGTAAACTAAATATTACATGTTTACATTTGACTTAGTTTAAATATTATATTTACATTTTAGTTTAAGTTTGTGTGTGTGGGGGGGCAAGCATAAGGCCATTAGTAAAAAAAAAAATAAAAGTACTTTTAAAACTAAATCAGGAACTTAGAAAGGAAAAAGCCTGCTTTTGATTTTCTTTCTTTAATTACTTCATGCAAGAGAGAAGGTTTAGGCTTATGGTATTACTTACCTATACCCAGTGCACTTGTATCCTGGCACAGTCTCACAACTGAAGGGATACACATCGCTTAAAATGAACCCTCCCAGGGCTGCCATGGCAACCACTTGCCAACTGTTGTGCCACTCTCTCTGGGGCTTATCAGCAGGGGTTCCACCTTGTCCTCTACACAGTGCCACGTGGACTTCTCCTTCCTTTGTAAGAATATCAGCACAGCTTAGAGAGGACAAACATCAGAAACTTATCAGAAACAGAAATATCCATAGGAATCGGCAATATGCACATGGTTTAGCTCTGAAATAATTGAAATTCGCCTTACTTGCAGAGGTGTGCTAAACCTAAGCATATTAAAAACAACTAAATAAAAGTCCACTTGTGTCCCCACAACAGCATTGTTCACCAGCTTTTGCATTTGTGTTGTCCTCCTGTATGTCACAGAAAGGCCAATGTCTACAGAGCTCCTACATAAACTTCACCCTTTGTGTTGCTTCTCTCCATTAGGAAAGCTTACTGCCTTCTGCCTCTATAGGTCAGGGCTAGGTTGAGCACTACATCACCAAGCATAAAGCCCTGGCTTTACTAATCACTGATGGGAGATGTCCTTCTGTATATGTTTCGCTTATCAGTTGATAAATAAAACACTGATTGGTCAGTAGTCAGGCAGTTTTTGTTAGTAAGTGGTGAACCAGGATTTGAACCCAGGGCATATGGTTCTTAAATCCATGCTCTTAGTCATCAAGCTGTACTAGCTCTTACTATTTTGCAGTTAAAGACATTTCAGGGGTGAGCTGGAGAGAGGATTCAGCAGTTAAGAGCACTGGCTGTTCAGGGGCTCAATTCCCAGTACCCGTTATGATAATGACACCTGTCATAACTCCAGTCCCAGGGGATCCAATGCCCTCTTCTGGTATCCCTCGGCACCAGGCACCCTCATGATGCACAACATGCATGTCAATGAAACACCTGTATACATAAATTTTGTTTTTGTTTTCTAAGACAGGGTTTCTCTGTGTAGCTTTGTAGATCAGGCTGGCCTTGAACTCAGAGATCTGCCTGCCTCTGCCTCCCGAGTGCTGGATATAAAGGCATGTGCCACCACCGCCCCACTTAAAAAGATTTTTTTAAAACAATTTGGGGCTATCAAGATGGGTCCCTGAGTAATGGTGCTTTCCACCAAGCGTGACAGCCTAAGGTCTATCCCCCAAATCCAAGAAGGAAGGAGAGCTGACTCCTCTAAACTGTCCTCTGACCTCCACATCCATACATTAAACACATACACACAGGCACTAATTAAAGTTTTAAAAATAATCTTGCCTTTTTCCTCCTAAGGCGTACTTGTGCTTTTACATCTAGAGTTATATGACTCACTTTCAGACACGATTGTGGTTTCCCTGGGTTTTAACTTCTTTCCACGTGTATCCTAGCAGTTTACACACGTCTGTCTTATTTCCCCAACTAAAAAGTTTTTGTGTGGTAACTTGGTTATGGACACCTGGAAAATTTCCCATTCGAGGACCTGGAAAATTTCCCATTCGAGGACTCGTCTTTTCTCACCTCTGAAAAAACTTGGCAAGCAGTTCCCTGTTCTTAGCTACTCCAGCTTTTCGTCCACAGTGCGGAAAGTTGAAATAAATTCGATCAAAGTCTCTTTCGTGTGCTTGCAAGGTGCGTGGCAGTTGGGTGCAATCCACACCAAAACGGACTTCGACACCTGGCAAAGAAAGTTTAAAGGCGTGAAATACAGACCAAAAGAAGTCTTAAAATCTGTAACCTGGACAAACACAGACCAGCAAACCAGCCCAGGCCTGGGCTCAGAGCACTTCTACGTGAGCGCCCCCAGGAGGCGCACTCGCACTCCCAAAGCGAGCCACACCCCCACGCTCTGAGCCGGGCCTGGCACAGGAGTGGGAGCCGCTACCCCGCTCGCGCAGGCGCTGTAGGTTCTCCTGGGTCACGGGATCCCCTTCCAGATCGGCCGGGTGCTGGAGGCAGGTGGCTGTAATACTGATGCCGGGATCCAGGGTGTCGATCAGAGAGGCGGTGAAGGAGAAATTCCCTTCCCCAACCAACAGGAGGCGCCGAGGAACCATGGTCTCCTCGGGCTCCCTGCCGGCGCTCTCTGGAGCGCACATTTTGCATCACTTCCTTCGAATAGGCCTCGCCCCCCTTTCCCTGCCCGGCACTAGTTGATGACGCATAAACAGCGTGTGGTTACCTGGAAAAACACTTAACGCCAATGCCAGGGAAGCTACGATTTTAAAGGTGAGATGGAGTTATCGACCTTGCCTCGTCACCTTCGTGCGCCTCGGAAGTCTCGTTTGCTTTTCAGTTTAAGGACGGACCTGAACGTCTTCACCACACCTGCTTGAGGTCACAAAACAGTCACTAGCTGAGGGGCGAGGCAGGTCCTGCGTGTTCCAGTGGCACAGGGGTTTGTAACTGCACCGCCACCCGAATGGATACCTCCTTTTCTCTCAGCTGCTGCTCAGCATTTCTCCAGGTGCTGATATGTCCTGTTTTCAAGAAAGAGAAAAACATTGAATGCCTGTTTCGTTCCACGGGGCACTGTGAGAGCAGTATATGGATGCATTAGAAGTGTCCTGCTACCGTCTGCTAACGAACGCCACAGCAAATGGAGGCAACTCTTAATATAGTGGGGTGTGTACCCACCGTGAGTGAAGGAATTCCTGTCACACAAGCACACACAAGGGCGAACACTACCAAGGTGGGGAAAGTAGCAGGTGACACTGAAGGGTTCAAAGATCATATGGACTGTTGTAACCATAACAGTGTAAACCTTATTCTGAGAATATAGAAAGCCACTAAAAATCCAATATGTCAGCCAACAGGAGGCTGATGAAGAAGCTTGAGGAGGTCTCAAAATGTGAAATGGAAAACTCTGTAAACATACTGGTTGATTAAGCTATTTTACTGATTTGGCAAGGGCTTGTTCTTGCCAGTCCACCTAATTAACTGGCCTCCTGAAAAATCAACTTTCCACCCAAGATCACATTTAAAATGAATATCTGTCCCCCTAACACTGGTGAGAGGGGTTATGTCTGTCTGCCAGTGGCTAGCTGAAAACTGGAAGATAGCCCGTGGTAATGCAGTCCCACATGGTATTGGTGAATGATCTCCTGCCCAAGCACCAGCCCTGGGCAGACCTAGCTAAAGAACACTAAAGGGACCATTTTTAAAATGCTGAAGAATTACGAAGAAATATGGGGGGAAAGTGACCTGCAGACTTGAATCTTCTATGAGTGGTCCCTGCAAGTTTGAGCAGAGACCCCAATCAGTGCATTTAGGTACTCCAAAAGCAGGCCTCTGGGAAACTGATGAGTGCCACAACCTGTTGCTTGGTTATGGCAGTTGCTTTCTACAGTTTCCTTAATCAGAAAATGGTCTAGGTAATGGCAAAGTCAGATTTAAAAGTTCAGATGTTCTAACAACAAAAGCCACTAAGAGATTTGAAGTAGGAAGACACCATAATTTTTTTTGTTTTGTTTTCAAAAATTGCTTTCCTGCCCAGTGGTGATGATGGCACATGTCTTGGTCCCAGTACTTGGGAGGCAGAGAGGCAGGCAGATCTCTGGGAGTTTGAGGCCAGCCTGCTCTACAGAGTGAGTGCCAGGACAGGCTCCACAACTACACAGAGAAACCCTATCTCAAAAAAGCCCAAGAAGAAGGAAAAGAAAGAAGAAGAAGAAGAAGAAGAAGAAGAAGAAGAAGAAGAAGAAGAAGAAGAAGAAGAAGAAGAAGGAAAGAAAGAAGATGATGATGAAGCTTTCCCATGGAGAAAGGATTAGACAAGAACAGGTTGATGACAAGGAAATCAGATAAGAAGCTACTTGCAGTAATAGGGCCAAAAGGAGACAGCAGTCTGAATTGGAAACCGGCAGTGAAGATCAAAAGTAGCGGGCCCATTAAAAAATAACAAGACTTCGTGACTAATTGAATGCCAGAAGAAGTAAAAAATCAGCCTTGGTTTTCTGTCTCAGACACCTGAGTGGATGTCTGCCATTCCAGCTCTAGGGACAGCATTGCCTCTAAACACTAAACCTATTAGGCTTTCTGGGTCCAGCTACCCAACTCATCATGCTGTTTGGTGACATCAGCACATGCATGCTCACATCTTCACAAAGGTAGATGATGTGAAGGCAGCTGCCTACAATCTCACCCTTTGTTGCAGCAGTATTGGTTTTCTCTGCCCATGAAAAGGCAGTTGGGTTGTGTCTCTCAGACCATGGCCGTGTGTCCGTGGTGATCTGTATGCCTTTGTTTGGAGAACAGGAAAGATCAGGTTTGGAGACATCTTTAACGAACATGGAACAGCCACATAACAATTACTGTTTACCTCTGAAATATTCAAAGAAATCATTGTATTCACCATCAAGTTACTCATCGATGATACAGGTATCATCTTGTTCCTTAGCCCAGGGACCAGGCTTATTTTTTTTTTAAATACAAACGTTTTCCATCTAGTATGTACAAAGAACTATTGATTGGGTTGGTAACTATTGATTGGGAGGATATATACAACAATGAACTGTTCTTGACATGTATGAGGTTCAGTAGATAATACATTGCATGTTCTTGAACCTATGACAGAAAGTTAAAAAGTGAACAGTGTGAAGGAAACTATGAGGTAAAAGGAGAGTTAGCTTTTTTGAGCTGGTCTGGAAAAGGAAGTTATTGTTAACCATTCATTGCGTTACCTGGTTATTCAACATTTCAGCTCTCATTCTCCCTGTAGCAGTACCCTTATACCCTCAACTCTTACACCTAGAAATCACTAAAACATTAGCTCATTGCTCATTTGGTGTTGGGGATGCTGAAAGATTTGTTGTCTTTTCAAGGAATGTGGGATAGTGGCACTACCAGTGATTGGCATGATAGATCAGTGGGTATATGCACCTGAAGAGGAAGAATAAGACCCTTATAAATTATATTTGGACAAAAGCCTAGAGAGTTGATAAGGTGTGCTTGTTTTAACACTTTGCCCTGTAAGGCAGTCGTAGAGACCAGTGTGTTTTCTGCTCTCTGGTTGTTTAGTGAGCTTTTATGTTCTTTGTTTTTCCAGAGACAGAACCTTGTCTGTTTCCTCAGAAACCCACACTATGGCAGCCTTATTTATGCTGATGGTCATGGCGAAGTGTGGACAGACTGGAATAACATGTCCAAGTTTTTTCAGTACGGGTGGAGATGCAGCACTAATGAGAACTCCTATTCGAATTGTACTTTGATAGGCAACTGGAACCAGGAGAGATACGACCTAAAGAATATTGTAAAACCTAAACCCTTGCCTTCCCAGGTAATACAACATTCTCTTCTTTTGTTACTTTCTGTTAGAAGTAATGCCAGTAGCCATGTGAGATTTGTGTTTAGTATTAGGAGAGTTCATTCTTCAGCTGGACCACCTAGCCTACTTTAGTGTCAACTTGAATATAACCCATAAATTATCAAGTGATGAGTAGATTTTTTTTCCTCCCTTCATTTGGATTTCACCTCCCTTCATTTGGACTGTCACATAAAGACAGTCTTCTGACTCAGGATATCTTCTCCTCTGGGCTTGTTGTTTACCTGAGCTTTGCCCTTTAGTCTCCTAAACAATGGGTAAGAAAGTATGGCAGACTAATCACAGATGAACCTCTAGGTCTACCTGAAATGGCATAGCAATTGAAGTCATGCTACACTGTTCCTTACTTCTTGATACTAGTAGCTATAGACTACTAGTTTCTTCCTCGTCCTCCTCTTCTTGAAGACTTATTTGGTTTTATGTGCATTGGTGTTTTGCCTGCATGTATGTCTGTGTGAGGGTGCTAGATTCCCTGGAGCTGCAGCTACAAACAGTTGTGAGCTGCCATGTAGATGCTGGGAATTGATCCCAAGTCCTCTGGAAAAACAACCATTACTGTTAACCATGGAGTCATCTATCCAACCCCCAACTACTAGATTCTTTTGTTGTTGTTTTTCAAGACAGGGTTTCTCTGGGTAGCACTGGCTGACCTGGAACCAGGAACCCATAGAGATCTGCCTGCCTCTTACCCCTACCCTCACTCCCCAGTCCTGAGACTAAAGGTGTGGGCCACCACTGCCTGGCTATATTCTTGTTTGTTTGTTGGTTGATTGGTTGGTTGGTTGGGATTTTTGTTTGTTTGTTTGTTTTGTTTTGTTTTCCAGACAGGGTTTTTCTGTGTAGCTTTGTAGACCAGGCTGGCCTCAAACTCACAAAGATCTGCCTTCCTCTGCCTCCTGGATGCTGGCATTAAAGGCATGCGACACCACTGCCTGGCCTATATTCTTAAATCTATTACTTTTCCTTTCTAGTTTGGACACTACTTTGAATCAACATATAATGCAAGCTACAACAGCAAAAAGCCACAGTCAGCTCATAGTAGGTGGACTCATGTTATTAATTCTTAACTCTTAAGATCCAACTTAGTTCCTGGCAGATGGAAGGAACTCAAAAGTAACATAAATGTGTAAATAAGTGAACAGTTTCTCATGTCTCAATTTTGACAGGACTAAGAAATAAGTAAGAACTCTGTCACTAAAAGTCTTCGTTGTCTGTGTACCCTGTTTATCTTTTCTTCCCTTAGGATTTAAGCGAGAGCCTCATTGGTTCCCTGGCCATCAGCCTGAGCTGGATCCTCCTCACTTCAAGTGCACAGAAAAGTCAACTTTTATGAATAGCTACTCAAAGCCTCAACCCAGCCATTACTCTTGGTGCTTGTGTGATCCAAACATGGAGCAAGCTTCGGATGCAGGAATCTGAGAGAAGAAGAAGCAGCATTTTTTTTTTTTTTCTGAAGCAGACTGTAGAAAGGAGCACGTTTTTAAGCGGACTCAAACTTCACTCTTAACACAATTTCTGTCTAAATAAAGCACAAGGCACCAAAAAGCAAAGAAACAAAATCTCTACTTCTCTTTACTCTGTCTTTGTGAGGTTTTATCAACCGAACACAAACCTAGACAGACATGTCTGGGAAGAGGGAATTCTAATTGAGAAATTACCTCCTTACAGTTGACCTGAGGCAAGCCTGTGGTGAGCATTTTCTTGATTAATGTTGGATGTAAGAGTCCTATCCCACTGAGGGCAGTGGCACTGCTGGGCTGGTGGGCCTGAATGCTAGAAGGTAGCAGGCTGAGCAAGCCATGGCGAACAAGCCAGTAAGCAGCATCCTCCATGACCTCTGCCTCAGCTCCTGTCTCCAGTTCTCTGTCATGAGTTCCTACCCTGATGTTCCTGGATGATGGACTTAAAAAGGTGTAAACTAAAACAAATTCCTACCTTTTTTTTTTTTTAATGTATATGGTGCTCTATCTGCATATAAAACATCTTGCCAGAAGAGGGCATCATATCCCATTATAGATGGTTGTGAGCTATCTTATGGTTGCTGGGAATTGAACTCAGGACCTCTGAAAGAGCAGCTGTCTCTCCAGCTCCTGTGTGATCCTATACTTAAAAAAAAAAAAATTATTTCTTTGCTTTCCAAATGTCTTTCAGTTCTGTAAACAGTCCTCTCTGCTTTCCATCAGTGGCAAGTCTAAAAAAACCTGGCATAGCTTGTATGTTGCTATGTGTATTCCTGAAGTAAGTCATAGCATGCCCTTCCTGAGGACTATAACAAGAAAAACAACTTTCCTATCACAGAGAGTATTAAATGCATTGACTTATTTTGGAACACGTTGCAATAATACATTTTCATCTCAATAATTTCTGTATATGTCCAAAAAAAAAAAAAAAAAAAAAGGGTGGGGGGGGAGATAGCCAGCTGTTAACTTCTCCACCAAGAGGACCAAGGGAATTTGTTGATCAAACAGCTAGGCATGCTGAACCTAGCAGATCAAGGACTGGCAACTTGACCAGGGGTCTTAGTGGTTCAGAAAGATGCTGGAGTGAGCTAAGGACATGAGGAAGGTATGCAAAGCATTGAGTGGGTAGGTTGGAAAAGAATTGTGAGTACAAGTTGGTAAATAGGGAGGCTTTTCTCTATTGTAATATCTTGGTTTCTGGATCAATCACCTAACTCCAGTAATGTATTTATATAGATAATCTGTTTCTTCGGGACTTGTTTGGGTAAATTATATGTATCTTGGGATTTCTCTGTTTCTGTATTTTTCAATACCTGGCAAGGTGTCAGGAATAAGGTGCTCAGCCTTCTTGATACTTAGGTGATACTTAGTCTATATATCATTAAGATTTCACCAAGTGGCCCTAGTCAATCCCTGAACTACACACTACACAACATGGTCTAATAGAACAATTGTTATTTTAGATCACTAATGGAGTAATTTAAAAGGTAGGAATGGAGAACCAGAACAGAACTTTATCCATAGATTTTTATCTTGCAGACTTGTTGAACTTGATTTTTCTGGAATTTGCTTCTTTGTTTATTTTAGCAGATTATATCTTTGTAAATGACAGTTCTGTCTCTTAACTTTGCAACTTTTACGTCTGTTCTAGTGTGACTTTGGTCAGAATCTTGAGAGCAGAGATGAATATCAGGTGTGATCATGGCCCAAGAGTGACCATCTTGCTCAGGATATCAGTAGGAGTGTATTTAAATTCTCTTGTGCAGGCATAATATTTAGTCTAGATTTTCACTGGACCTGGCATTTATGAGTATAAGGAAATCCCTTTTCTTTCTGTCAAGAATCGTTCTCATTCACTCACTTGACCTACCATGCCCTGACACTGTATCCATGAAAGTGGATGTTTTGTCAAACCCAGTATTTCACTCTTATACTCTGCAATTGGCTTCTTGCTGCAGATCACTGGGCGTCTCCATTCTCCCTGTCATTTTTAAGCTCCCCTCATTAAGCTTGAACTGCACTGCCAATGGCAAATCTGAGCCCGTTAGCTGTCATTTCTTCCTCCAGGCACATCACTGGTGTTACTGTTTTTAAGGCCCCTTTTGTGTTAGCAGGCTGCTCAGCCTCACTTGACCACCCGTCTTGACACTGTGGCACGCTGTTTCCTCCCATTCCTCTGATTGCTTCTCAGGTGCCTTTATGAGCTGACCTTTCTACATGGATCCTTTAAGTTTTCCTTTCCAACAATTTTGTTGTTTATCCTGTTTCTACTCTTGTGCTAATCTCAGGTTCTCAGGTAATAGCTATCAACTACCCTGTCTTTAATTGATATTACATATTTCCAGATCTCTCTCTCTCTCTCTCTTTTTCCAGACAGGGTTTCTCCATGTTGCTTTGGAGCCTGACCTGGAACTCACTCTGTAGACCAAGCTGGCCTCAAACTTACAGCGATTTGCCTGCCTCTGTCTCCCAAGTGCTGGTTTAAAGGCACATGCCACCAATGCCCAGCCAAATCTCCTTATTTTTAATTGTATTTATTTATTTTGTGTAATTTTGTGTGTGTGTATTTTTTCACACAAATGTGTGTTACAGTGTACTTCTGGTGTCCTTATTTCCCATTGGCTTTCTACTCTTTAATCACCATATTTCCATAGAGTAAATTTGAAAATACTAGGTTGTTCATTCCACTCACTTGATTTAATTCCTTTATTGGCTTCTGTTGCCTTCCAAATAAATTCCAAAGAACAGTAGAGCCTTTTCTCCATTGCTTCATTTCCCATACTCCCTTTCATATACCCAGTTCTCCCATCAACCCAAAATACCCCAGCACTTCATTCTGTTCTTTCTCTAAATTCATGCTCCTACCATGTACATCTTGCTACCTTTAACAAACCATTGAGAATGAGTACAAGACAAGGTTTAAAACTCAGTGTTAAGGTGAGTGTTCAGCATACCTTTAGTTCTACCCCCAGCACCAGAACCAAAACAAATTGCCTCATTAGATGGGTATAATAAAAATAAAAGGCACCAGGTGGTCATGGTACATGCCTTTACTATCAGCACTTGGGAGGCAAAAGCAGGTGGATGTATGTGAGTTCGAGGCCAGCCTGGTCTACAGCACTAAGACTATACAGGGAAACCCGCCCCCCCCAAAAAAAAAAACACTTGCATATACTGCTAGTAAAAATGTATCAATGTTGCAGCTGCTGTGGAAAAGGATTGACAGTTCCTTAGAAAGCTAAATCTATAAAAAAAAATTCATGAGCTTGAACACACACACACAATGTTTTAAAAAGTTAATGTAGACTAATCCTATGACCAGAAAGTCCAGTTATATTTATGCCACAAGGAATGAAAACTATCAAAATAATAATTAGATGTTATTGGCAGCAATCTCCACAATAATCAAACAGTAAAACTAGCAATTGATGTTGGATAAATAATATATGTTGGGTAAATGAATTCCAGCAGCTGATGAAGGATAAACTATGGTATATCAATTCAGTAAAATATTATTTGTGAATAAAAAGAAATATGATGTAGACAACAGCATGGCTGAACCTTGAAAATATTATACGGGGTTTAAGAAAAAAAACCTAGAGGCTGGAGAGGCGTCGCAGTCATTAAGAGCATCGGATGGTCTTCCAGACAACCCAGATTCAATTCCCAGCACCCACTTTGCAGCTCACAACTGTCTCTAACACCAATCCCAGAGGATCCAATATCCTTTTCTGGCCTCCGTGGGCACTGCATACATGTAGTACATAGAAGACACATAAAATAAAATACATTTAAAATCTCAACTGTGTGTGGTGACGTATGCCTTTAATCCCAACACTCAAGAGACAGAGGCAGAGGCAGGTTTATTTCTGAGTTGAGGCCAGCGAGTTCCAGGACAGCTAGGACTACACTGAGAAACCCTATCTCAAAAACCATAGCACACCTTTAATCCCAGGACTTGGGAGGCAGAGGCAGGCAGATCTCTGTGAGTTCGAGCTAGCCTGGTCTACAAAGCAAGTTCCAGGATAGGCTCCAAAGCTACAGGAAAACCCTGTCTCAAAAAACAAAACAACAACAAACCACAAAACAAAAACCACAAAAACCACACACACACACACACACACACACATCAAATATATGTATGTATATATGTATGTACATGTATATATATGCTAGTAAAAAAGGGACATATACTGAAGATTACATTATAAGTGTTCAGAATAGGCAAATCAGTAAATAAGTAGACATATGGTTGCCTAGAGATGAGAGATATAAGATCTTTCATAGTAAAATCTAAAATTGACCATAGGGATAGATGTTCAAGTCTATGAATGTATTATTGAGAGTACTCTGTACAATCTGAATGAGTAGATCATATGTAAATAGAATCTTAGCAATTCTTAAAATTTTAGTCAAGGGCTTATTCAGTAAAGTGTTTGCTTCACTAAATTAAGTCCACAGCACTTGCATCAAAAAGGCAAGACAGTGATTCACATCTCATCACTGGAGAGGAGGAGGAGAATCTCTGGAGCTTGCTTGTCAGCCAGTCCGGCCATATCTGTGAGCTAAAGGTCTGGTGAGAGACCTTAGCTCAAGAAAGATAAGGTGTAGGCTTGGGAGACAATGCAGCGATCCCTGGAAAAAACATTTGGCGTGTATGAGTAAGGACCCAAGTTCAAATGCTCAGAACCCATGTAAGGTCAAGCACAGCCAGGTGTCTATGATCCTGGAGATCCTATCGTAAAGGCCAAGGCAAAGAGGAAAATCCCAGGAAGCTAGAAGACTACCTAGCCTGGAGTGCACAGTGGAAGAAAAAAGGAACTCATCTCAAGGTGGAAATCAAGGACCACAGGTTTATCTCTGACACACATGCACCATGGCTATGCACATCCTCATTTACTCACAAAAATGTTCACATGTCACACAAGACACATACACAAACAAAAATAAGGTGGAGACACACACACACACACACACACACACAGAGAGAGAGAGAGAGAGAGAGAGAGAGAGAGAATTTCAGTCAGTAACTATCCCCAAGATTCCTTCTACATTCAAAGCAGGCATTTGGGGCTGGAGAGATGGCTCAGCAGTTCAGAATACTGGTTGCTCTTCTAGAGGACCTAGGTTCAATTCCTAGCACCCACATGGCAGCTCACAACTGTCTGTAACTCCAGTTCTAGGGGACCTTACACCTTCAAAAAAAAAATGCACGTAAAATACAGTTTTTAAAAATTCACACAACCAAGTTCTAACAACACTGAAAATGCAAAGTAGAAATTCATCCCAGTCTCCCCCCACCCCCTCTCTTACACACACACACACACACACACACACACACACACACAGACACACACACACCTTGCCTTCCTCCACGCATCTCTCATCTCAACTCTTAGTGTTTTGTTTTTATTTTCGCAATGTCAAGGGTGGGAGCCAGGACATTACACAATCACACATACTAAACAAGAACTCTACCACTGAGCTAGCCCCTCAGTACTCCTTCATAGTTTAAAAATAGCTCCTAAAAGCATTTCAAGTAGACTTCCTTATTGTCTCTTTTGCCATAATTGGCTCACAGCCCTTCAAGCCAATCTCTGCAGACAAAAGGAATTCCTTTGCTTTATTTGAACCACTGTGGCTGTCTTTGTTTCTGTTACATGGTGCACATGGCTTGGAAGGGTGTAAAAATTACTGGAATAAACCTTGCCATCAACTAGACCAAAAAGGAATAACAACATTTCCTTATGCAAACAATATTAGTTGCTGACAGACACAGAAATTGATCATGACTTTAAGGAAAAGGGCTTTCTAAGTAGGTCATGGTATGTCAGATTTTAGAGTTGTGTGTGGGCTTTTGGTTTGTTTGTCTGCTTAGTTTTATTTAAGGAAACTAGGCTAGGTGGTGGTACACACCTTTAATCCCAGCACTTAGGAGACACCGGCAGGCAGGTCTGTGAGTTCTAGGCCAGCTTGGTCTACAAAGCAAGTTCCAGGATAGCCAGTGCTACACAGTGAAACCCTGTCTTTAAAAAGCCAAAAAGAGGGCTGGAGAGATGGCTTAGCCGTTAAAGGCTAGGCTCACAACCAAAAACATAAAAAGCCAAAAAAGAGGGGCGGGGTAGAATTTGAATACACCTAAGAGGCTTGTTTGATGATTACCACCCATGTCCTATTTGCTGTCCTATAATGAGCTGACAACTCTTGTCAAGTCACACTAAGGTCACCATGTCTCCCTGGTGAGGTAATTAATTTCATAGATGCACTGGAGCCTTTTATGTGGGGCTAGCCAGAGATCTTCTCTCTAGAGCAACTGATAGTCCTTGGACTTTGCCGAGGCATCACCCGTTTTGTTTTGTTTTTTGTTTTTCTTTTTCTTCTCCTTAATCTATTCCTTACAACTCTGTCCTAACAGTACAGCATGTTATAGACAGAAGACCAGAGAAAGTGAATGTCTCTCCTGGGTTTATACCACTAGGAAGTCATTCTGCCAGTCATTCTGACCCAAAAGTCCTTGGAGTCCCCTGAATCACAGTTCAAGAATTAAATCTGATGTTTGTAGTTATTTAAAGCATCCTGAATACATAAACACAAGACAAATCTGTTGCTGAGTGGTATTTTATTAGCTTAATAATCTGGGCCAGCCCTTAGCATTAATAAGCTTCAGCACTAGTCACAGATTTTCCTTCACTGATGGGAAACTTCCTTGTTTTTAAAAAACGCAATGAGAGAAAGGGAGTCTACTTCTTAGGGGCGGCAGTGACGGCAGGTTTCTCTTCACGGGTGATTGGAATGGTACGCTCGGGGCCAGAGGCCTGTTTCCTTGGTCCATTCACAGTGAGGACCCCATCAGATGACAGGGATGACGTAATGGTCAGAGGATCCACATCAGCTGGGATCCGGTACTTCCTGTGGAACTCCCTAGAGATGAAGCCATGTTCGTCCTAATTCAAGAGAATGAAGAAAGAAGCAGAGCAGTAAGAACAGGAAATACCACCACGTTCCCCAAACTCAGACATTCCCTTCCCTTAGGTTAGACCAAATTGCCCTGACATCATAAGGGAAAAAGAAATATCTGGGGCTGGGGATATAGTCTGCAACAAATATACAGATAGAGCTAAGTCAAGAGCTGTTCATCCAGGTTTAAGGCTATAACAAAACTGCCTAGATATTACACTCAGGAGTACTACCCACAAAGGAATGATCTCTGTTGGTTGGACTTTGGCACTGAGAATCTGTGTCCTTGAGGAAGCCCATAAGTTGTCCCAATTCCTCAGGAATGTCTCAGGATGTTCCTAAGTCACAGAATTGCTGATATTATATAAGGTGACTCTCAGAGGACTGTGGTTTGGTGTTAAATCATATGAGCAAAACTGAAACAGCCTGAGGGCATTAAGATACACTAACTATGAGCAGGTTCTGAGTTATTAATTTTTTGTTCTGTTTTGTTTTTGAGATAGATAGGGTTTCTCTGTGTAGTTGACCTAGAATTTGCTCTGTAGACCAGGTTGGCTTCAAACTCAGAGATCTGCCTATCTCTGCTTCCTGAGTCCTACACCACCATGTTTGCCTCCTGAGTTATTGATTTTTAAGAAGCAATCATAACACCTTTTCAGGAAGTCAAGAAAAAAATTGCCAAAAGTGCAAGAGGAATTGTTGACCCTAACCCTTAGACCTTCTGAATAATTCCAGGCATCCACCCAAAACCTCAATTAACTGACTTCCTTACAGCCATAAGCCTGAAGCTCTGAAATGTGGACAAACCAAGTAGCTTCGCATTAAAATGAGCAGAAGAAGAGACATGAAACCCTGAACAACTAAAAGTCATGGACTGAAATGCCTTCAAGCCTGTAGTTAATGTCATTACATACAACAACCATTATGTACAACACACTGCGCCTAAATCAGTGGTTGCCAGTTTTGATTACAGGCTGATGCCTGAGTTTTATCTCTAAAACTTCATATTTAACTGGCATAGGGTAGGCCTGAGGGTTGAAAATCCTTTTGATATTTTGATGTCACCGGACACTGACAATCAAAGGCAATCAAAACAAACAGCAAGGGGCACTTCTCTTAGCAAAAGCATATCAATAACAACACATTCATCCCTAATTTAGCTTCCTAGCCACTGATTTGCAGCTCCTGCTTTAGTTAGTCCCTTATGTTTGGGGCCTGGAATTCTGCTAGCTTCAGAGGGGCAGTGCCTGCTGCCCAGTGCGCACTAAATGAATTCCCAAAAGAAACAGCGATCCACATACCTGGCGCTCTTCATGTTTGCCATGCACTTCAACCACGTCTCCCAGCACCTTGACTTTCAGTTCCTCTGGGGAGAAGTGCTTCACATCCAGGTTGACAGAGAATCTGTCCTTCTCCATGCGCATCTAGAGAGAGTAACAAGGGAGGTGAAAAGATCGGTTGAATGTTTATTACACTGGAGAAGACTCATTGTCCTGTAGATTAATGTCCTGTCCAGGTAATTCACCCTCCTCTTCCATACTAAAAAAAATCTGAATGACCCTGGTGCATGTGAGCCACCATATACCAGCATTATACCAAGAGCACCTCTTAGTCATCGGTCCCAAACTTAGTCATAGGGAAGAAGATAGGTCACTAGGGGATCGAAAGGATGGGTCTAGGCTTCTGCTGCCACTCTACCCAATGCTGGCTTTGTCATTTGTCTATAAGACAAAGGCGCCTTTTTCTTGCTCAGCTCCCTGCCAAGTTTCCTACCCACTCAATCTGGAATGTTCTGCTGGTCCTGTCCTTCCAAAGCCCTTGCCCACTCAGCTCCTGTTTCCTCACACTGGAATTATTTTTAAACCAGAGCGTTATCTGTGACAGCTTCTGTTAATCTTATCTGTTCAACCCTTCTCCCTGCTAGAACAAGCTGGGGCTTCCCAGGAGTGGACAGACATCCATTCCTCATAAGGCATAGACAGAGGTACCCAGAAAATCAGAGACAAGGGAAGAGAGTGACAGAATGTAGTGATCGATGTCTCCAGCTCCATCCAGAGGACATGAAAAGTTCAGAATGAGTGGGTTTCTCTCCGATCTCTACAACTTGATGTGACTAGGGAGGCAAGTAAAGGGGCTGGAGCAGCAATTGATGCAGCTCACTATGAATAAAACCAGAAAGGGACATCCTGCTTCATCATTAGGGGAAAGAAAATGGCCTTTACCATGCACAGAAAAATGTAACAAGAAAAGGAGGAACATCCAACAGAATGTCCGAGGAGAAGAAAACAGTAACCTCATTTCTTTATACTTTTGCACACTCATGTGCCTGAAATGATTTAGGCAGTGGCAAAAAGGAAAACAAATGAAAAAGTGTCCAGGAAGTTCCAGCAAGGATGTAGGGGAGACTCACCTCTGAGAGTCCAGTGTCAATCCAGCTGGGTGCCCGAAGGAAGGAGGGTGGCCGAAGGTAGAAGGGGCTCAGGGAAGTGGCAGTTGAGAAGAGGTCAGACTCCAACAGGTGCTCTCCAAAGAATTGGTCAAAGAGGCGGCTAGGGGAGTGAAAAGGGAAGAAGGGTCGGCGGATCCAGGGGTGATGGATGGCGATGTCCATGGCGGCTAGATGGATGTAGGGTCAGTTGGCTGGTCAACTCCTTCAGCTGCAGCTACAGCCAGCCCCTTATATATGCAGTCTTGTGAAGCTTCTGGAATGGTGATGTCAGGGGTTTTATTATCCCCGCTCACCGCCAGTTCATGGAGACTTGTGATCAGGGATTTGGCAGGGTGACACATACCCAGTACTCACTGAGCTAAGAAAAGAGAAACACAAACACGGCTGAGCTGGCCAGTGACTTGTCATGGTCTTGTTTCACTGGCTCTCTGTCCACACCCAGTGGCACCCACCCCCATCCTTGTTCTCTGGAGCTAGGACAGAGTCAAGAATCCCAAGCAGCTGGTGGCATGCCCCTCCTCCTCTCCAGTCTTGCATGCCAGGGGAGTTGAGCCAGCAACTATCTTGAGCCTGGGCAGGGACTGGAATCTTCCTAGGCTGGGCCCCAGGGACATTAACTCTTTGTGGTGCCCTTGAGGACAGCAGTGGCCACCAATATGTCAGTACCAGGTGTCTGACTGGAGCCTCAAGTTGACCTGGGTTCAGAATATCCTGAAATGAAAGAGACAGAAAATGTTTCTTGCATCTTTCATGTTGGTGGCTCATGGAACAGTTAAGCTTTCTTTCTTTTCTTTTCTTTTCTGTTTTTTGTTTGTTTGTTTGTTTTTTAAGTAGTGTGCACGGTGCCTGCGGTTGAGGAGGACAAACGGTGATGTGGAAATGTACAAGTTGAGCAGGCCTCCCTTTGTTCTCCTATGGTGCATAAATTTCTTTTCTTAACACACACCAGGACCGAGACCCTCAGCTGTCCTCCCAGGCTTCTGCGACAGCTGAAGAGTGTGCAGAGGAGGGGACTTGGGGGGTCCAAGCTGTGCTGGTCACACCCTCATCGCAGCACTCTGGGCCCAGGCTCCAGGCCCTCCCCCAGAGGCTTTGCACTATTTTGGGTAGTGTAGACCCCGCCCCCACTCTGACTGAGTCCTGGCTCTCCCTCCAGCTGAAGGGGTCCTGTGGATCTTGTTGGGGCTGCACTTGGGATCAGGGCTTCCAGTCGCAACCAGAGTCATGTCGAGCCGCACAGTGCCACATGCCCACCCAGCCACTGCTGAGTACGAATTTGCCAACCCCAGCCGCCTGGGTGAGCAGCGTTTCGGAGAAGGTATGGCCTAGATACTGCCCACCCCCACCTCCTGAAATTCTGGGCTCAAGGCCCAGTTTCACTGGCCTGCACCCTACCTGGGGCTTAAGTGAACTCCTAGGCTGAGCCATCTCCCACCCCAGACTCCCTTTCCCCCACCCCCAAGCAAGGCTCTGCTCCTGCTACAGACTTCAGGACAGGACTTTAGGGCCGCAGGGCTTTGGGCCTTGTCTGCTGAGTACCTTCTGGTTTCGCTTCTGTCCTCCTAATCCCTGCTTGCTTCCTCCATCGCCATCTCATTTCCTTTCCCAGCCTGCCTTCAGCAGCTTTCCCACCTGCTCTTCCCATGCCCATGTCTCCTGATGTTGCCTTTCAGCCCTGTGCATTCTGCATTCCTCCCTCATCCTGCCTCTTGCCTTCTCTTTCTCTCTGCCCTCCCAGGCCTCCTGCCAGAAGAGATCCTGACCCCCACCCTCTACCATGGCTACTATGTCCGGCCTCGGGCCTCCAGAGCTGGGGAGGGCAGTAGGGCAGGGGCCTCAGAGCTCAGGCTCAGCGAGGGCAAGTTCCAGGCATTTCTGGATGTGAGCCACTTTACCCCAGACGAGGTGACCGTGAGAACTGTGGACAACCTGCTGGAGGTGTCGGCCCGGCACCCCCAGCGTCTGGACCGCCACGGCTTCGTGTCCCGAGAGTTCTGTCGCACCTATGTCCTGCCAGCAGATGTAGACCCCTGGCGGGTCCGAGCTGCCCTCTCCCATGATGGCATCCTTAACTTGGAGGCACCTCGGGGTGGCCGGCATTTGGATACAGAAGTCAATGAGGTCTACATCTCCCTGCTCCCTGCGCCTCCTGACCCAGAGGAAGAGGAAGAAGTAGCCAGAGTTGAGTCCTGACTGCTGCGGTAGACCCAGCACCCAGTGAAACCCCTGTCTACATCCCACGGTGATTCCAGAAGTCCACCACCCCAGAGGTAGCAGCATCCTCGGGGGGGAAAAGGAGAGATGCATGGTCCACAGTGTATGGTTTGGTCCCTTGATGTATCATAGGCTTTGATTTAGTTTTGGGTAGAGCTGAATAAACCCAATCCTTGGGGCATTGTTTGTGCTACTCCTGTTGTGTGGCCTGCAAGACCGAACCGCGAACCGATTGGGAGAAGGTCACAGGGAGCATTTTCCACTGTGAAATGTGCCCATCGTCTCAACATCCTTGGATGCTGAGATCAACCCCGGAAGCCGACACTGGCTCCAGATCAAATTCCTAGCCATAATTTTCTCACAATGCAACAAAAGAGAGAGTGATCCTGGGAGGGATAGGGATGTGCCATCCAAACAGCCCAGAGGGCACTGTCTGAGCTGGTGATTAGAGACACAAAAACAAGGGTCTCCAGGCTGTCTGGCCCTTTTGGGTTGGGGTTAGGATAATAGTTTTTGGCTGGAGAGAGTTGCCTAAAGCTCTGTAGTGAATGTTTTGTTTCCCATATCAATGACTTGCACTGAAAGGTCTCTGGTTGAAGGAAGGCATGTGTATACATGGGCAGACAGACACAGACATGTCAATCTACAATCATCACTGACAAGTGGACAACCTTCCCATCTTGAATACAGGGAAGGCCCATGCAAGAAAGCAATTGTCTCTGGTTTTGTAATAATCCATATAAAGGAACCACAGAACACTGTACCTAATCTAAAACTCAATGCAGTTTCTACTGTCATATTGTAATGGCAGTGGTCAGGAAAGACTTAAGGTGATTTTATGCTAGGAGTACAGTGTGTTCAGAAAAGTCAGCTGTGGAGGGAGGCTATGGCCATACTTACTTCTTACTTTACAATCAAGAGACTCGTGTGTGTGTGTGTGTGTGTGTGTGTGTGTGTGTATGTGTGTGTGTGTGTGTGATTTGAGGGGTGACAAAAGCTATCAGTCCTCTTACCAGAAAAATACACACATTTGCAAATTTGTCAGCACAGTTTTTGAGATCCATTCACACCCCTCTAGGAATGTGTGGACCTCTGCAGTAAGAGCTTGTCTTCAAGTAATTTGATTATTGGCTTAAAAGTGATTTTCTTTTCAAAACCAAAGCAAGAACTGGAGTGTAGCTCAGTGTCAGGCACAAGGCTCTGGGGTAGGTCCCCGGCATGCCATAATGAACAAATACGATAAAAGCATATCTCAGAGAAACAACATTGATTATATTCACCTCTTCAGTTAGTAGTTCAGTAAATATTTATCAAGTAATATAAGTCAAGTAATAAACTATGGGAGACAAGCATTGTAAATATAAATAAGAAATGGGTATGTTTGATTAGCTACCCTTAGTAAACATAACATTTGGTTGAGAAGAAATTTAAAAGGCTGAGCTGTAGCACGAAGAAAACAATTTCCCTGACAAATTGAAGGGGATACTTTATAACAGTGGTCAGAAAACTACCACTTGCAAACCAAGGTGGTGTGTGTGTGTTGTATACATGGCCTATAAAACTTAAGATATTTACTCTCTAGCCTTTTTGAGAAAGTTTTGTTTTTCTTTTTTCTTTTGACTCATTCTTGTATCATCAGCTTTGAGATTAATAAGAACGTTTAACTTTATGAAAAAGTTAAAACACACAGTTAAGGAAAAGGAGGTATGTTACCTCTTTAGTCCTATAATGGTGACAGCAAAAATAGCCACCTTTTACAAATACAGATAAAAGCTTTAAGTGGAAAAAAGAAAGAAAGAAAGAAAGAAAGAAAGAAAGAAAGAAAGAAAGCAAATGAAAGTTGAGTGCAATGGCAAATACCTGTAAGCCCAGCTCTTGAGAAGTGGAGGCAGAAAAATTGGGAAACCAAGGTCAAGCTTCAGCTACATCACGAGCTTGAGGCTTGTCTAGACTTAATGAGACACTGTCTAAAAATAATGATAAAATAAAAATTTTCAATTCTCCCCTCAGATTTCAACCTGAGCAGTTTCATAATTTCTTTTATAATTGAACTTAATTGACCTACTTACTTGCTTAGGGGAAGCCAGGCCTCACACTCATTAAGCCCACATTCCACCTACCACTCAGCCCTGAGCTTTGTCTAAGTCAAAAAAAAAAAAAAAAAAAAAAAAAGATTTTAAACAAGGAAACATTGGAAATATCTAATTTAATCCAAACCTCCACTTCATTGAAATTCCTTTAAAGTAGCTGGGCAGTGGTGGCACACACCTTTGATTACAGACAGCACTCAGGAGGCAGAGGCAAGTGGGTCTCTGTGTGTTCGAGGCCAGTGGCCAGCCTAATCTACAGCAAGTTACAGGACAGCCAGGGCTACACAGAGAAACCTTGTCTCAAAAAACAAACCAAAAAAAAGCAACAAAAATTATTTTAAAAGTTATTAACCAACTTCTGCAACATTTTGAATTGCAGAAACTCCAAACTACACAAATAGCCCACTCAATTTTTCTTTTTGGACATATATACATATTTACAAACAAACATTTACATATATATTTAGAAACATACTTACATATATACCTACATATACAGATATTTACAAACATACATTTGTATAATTATATGTGTAAATACTTATGTATACATATCTATAAACATACACACACACACACACACACACACACACACACACACCCTCAGTAGGACCTTGTACATGCTAGGCAAGTACTCTATCATTGACCTGGTTTTTACCATATATTTTAGTCCAGATGGGATTTGAATTCACTATATAGCCTAGACTGGCCTGTCCTCCTGCCTCAGACTCCAGAGTATCTGGGATTACAGGCTAGTACAGAATCCTAAATAAGGTTGGGTCCTGGAACCCTAGCTAGGGATATCGAGGTAATGAAGGACAGATGTACAGACAATGAAGCTGGGATCAGGTTCTCTAGCACCTCAGCATGTTTATTAGATACAGCACAGAGGGGAGGTTAGCAAAGCTTGGTGGGAGGTCTCTGTGTTGGGCTGCAAACTTTGGGGAGGAGGAGGAGGCCAAAGTTGCTAGTCTTTGTACATACTGATAAATTGTTCATTAACATCCATACTCAAAAGGCTGAGTCCTGATCAAAATACATATTCACTCGGGATTTCAGCCACACAGGGCTTCCTAAATACTGGCACAACCAGGGCTGGCTAATTTCTTCTAAAGTCCCCCCACCAGACACACACACACACACACACACACACACACACACACACACTGAAATTGTGCCTTGTCCTTTCAGCCCTATCTTGTAGCACTTTCTATACAACATCTTACACACACAACTTTCTTTTGTAACACACTGACAATAGAACTTGAAAGTTAATGAGAAGCCTACAATTATTCCAGACATGGACTGACAGGGTCAGATTTCAATAGAATACTCATTTGTCTATGTTATCACTTTACACTTGTATTAATCTGCTTAAGGCATATCATACCCCAAATGCTTTTTGTCTTTTCCGGCCCTCCAAAAATCTCCTGGATAAATCCCTATAAATTACCAAAGAGGTGGCTGGCAATGGAGTAGATTAAAAAGGGCTTTGAGAAGTCTATGCTGTAAGCAACAGGAAATTATTGCTGGCTTTTGAGCCAGAGAAAGGAAGCAGGTTACAGGATGAAAAGAATATAGTTAAGAGCAGAATAAAGAGTGGTCTGTAGGAGTGAAGCATGTGCAAGGATTGGAGCACGAGTTAGTAAAACAAAAGGCTTTACCATCTGATAATTGGCTAAGGACAAGAAGTAATACTAGTAGGAATAGCTAAGACTTGTTGAAGGAGTCCCATGTGCCAGGCCCCAGACTCAAGCCTTATATACATACATCTCCTTCAAGAATCACAGTCCTACCTGGCAGCCACTCTCATCCTCATCTTTCCTAAGAGGGGGAGGAGTTCAGGATCCAACATACTGTGTGGAGTGCAGACCTGATTATGGGCGCCCCAGAACAACATTAAAGATGCCAAGAAAACAATGAAGATTGGAATTATGGGTTCTAAAGACTCTATTGGAGCCACACACCCCCCCCCCTTCTTGTTGTTGTTTATTTGAGACAGCATCTCTCTATGATTCCTGGCTGTCCTGGAACTTGCCCTATCCACCAAACTGAAGCCTCAAACTCACAGAGATCCGCATCTCTCTGTCTCCCAAGTGCTGGGATTAAATGCATACACTATCATAACCAACCTGGAAACATATTTTCTAAGGGGAATTCACTCAGTTGCATCATAGCTGCTGGCCAGTCAGGAACAGGTCCAAATTGGGGTCATTGGAAGCAGAAGCTGCAAGCAGGGTAGGTGGAGATTTTGTAGTCCTGAGCTAGGAAGGGGACAGTGAGTGCTCCATCCCAACCACAGAGCCATCTGGTTTATACCAGGAAGAGGATTAGGTAATGCATTCAGTGCTTAAGCTTCTCTGTGTTGGAAATCTAGATGATAAAAGTTTAGGAGATTTGCAAAGATTGATTTTAATAGTGAGCATGTGATAGCATTCTATTTCCCTACTTTTCAGGTTCCCAAAGCCTCTAGGATTCAAACCCATATTGTGGACATATGAAACTGGCATCAATTACCTTGACAGTAAAACTCAGACATAAGTGTGGTAGGGTAGACATGAGGGAGGACCCTTTGTTCTGTTATAAAGGATGTATTTCAAAGGCAGTGAGATACAGTGAGAAACATTTCCTGTGGAAACTCAGAGCCCTTTTCTATCCCAGGTTTCTTTTTAAAAATAAAGCTCGCGGCTCAACGTTTATGGCCTCTCCAAAAGAACCTTCAAATCCCAAAGGTGAGATAACTCTCACCTGAAGCTGGTGTGTCTTTCTACCCTCTGGCTGGGAACAGTCACCTGGGAATGATTCCACCAGGTGGCTTCCAAGGTCCAACCTACTTGGTTGAAATCTGACACTGACAGCGACTCCCTAGTAGCTGCTGCGGTTCGCTCAACAGGGAACCAGGAAATGCACAAACCTCTTTATGTCTGAAAACCAGCTGGGCTCCCTGGGAGACACATCCGCCATGGGAAACAGGCTGTGCTGTGGGGGAAGCTGGTGAGTAGGGACGAAAGGTGGAGGGTACCGTCTGCGGTGGTGGATATGAAACCCTGAGAATCAGAGAGAGCCCGGAGAGATCGTGCCTTCCTCCACCTGCCACGTCCTGGGTCGAACACCAGAGCAGTAGTACCATAGGACGCCTTAAAAACACAGCAAGCTGTAGAGTGTAGAGTTAGCTGGATTGGTGAACCGGCTTTGTTTCTCTCTTCTCCCCTTTCCTTTCCCTGCTCTCCTTTTCTTTCTTCCTCAGATCATAATAATTGGAGCGTTTGACTGTTCTTTATGTGCAGTCACTCGTTCAACTGTCCCAACACTTCTGTAAGTGGTCTTACCGTTGCTCCCATCTTATAGCCAGTCAAGAAGCAGAGGCTCAGCAGAGAAGTTAACTAAAGGTTGTCACATGGCTAGTAACTTAGCAAGTAAAACAAGAATCCAAGCCAGGCGGCTAGACTTCAGAACCCATACTTTCCTTGCTAGGTAATCATAGAGACGATCATGGATTGAACAACAGGATTTGAACAAATGTTTGTTTGCAATTACAGAAGTGGGAAGGAGAGTGTCCATGGGAAATATGAATATAACTTTTATGCTATTTGCTGTGTGGCCTCAGGCAGTTCTGTAATTTCTCTGGACCCCCAGTTTTGTAAAATACATAGTTCCTATTGTTTGCAGCATAGGTTTGTTTTGGAGAGCAAAAGCTAGTAAAAACAAACAAAACCCAAAAATAACATTAAAAAACTTAATAATAGATTATTTGTGGTTTTATAGCTTTCCCCCTGGGTGTTGCCACTACTACAAATTCCCAAATATGGCTTTACCCTGTCAGCTGCCTCTTAGCTATATCATTGTATGTCTGGGGCAGAGTTCAAAGATTACTTATTTACACATGAACATCCCATATAGAGAGAAAAGTGAAGTATGTTGGAAAGCACCAAAAATGTGAATCCTGAACTCCAGTCCTGTGCCTGCTAGTTCATTTATCTATTTGATTATTAAACAAATATTTACTGAGCATGTGCTATGTACCAGGAAGTGACAGATGCAGAAGGTAGCAATAAAAGGAAATTTGGCTAAGCATGGTGGTACACGCCTTTGAGTCCAGTGGTTGAGAGGCAGAGACAAGCAGTTCTAGGGTAGCCAAGGCTACATGGTGAGATCCTGTATAAAAAAACAAAAACAAAAACAAAAACAAAACAAAAAAAAAACAACAACAAAAAAAATAAGTAAGTAGGTCTTTTCCTAAACCTGCCTATTTTGTTTACAAATCTATTTACTTTTTTGTTTGATTTGTGAGACAAGTTCTCTCTATGTGGTCCTGGAATTCACTTTATAGAACAGGCTAGACTTAAACTCACAGAGATCCGCCTGTCTCTGCCTCCCTAGTGCTGGGATTAAAAGTGGACACCACCACACCTGGCCTTTATTTACTTTTGGTTATTGGTTTTTCTAGACAAAGTTTCTCTGTGTAGTTCTGGCTGTCCTGAAACTTTCTCTCCAGACCAGGCTGGCCTCAAACTCGGAGATCTACCTGCCTCTGCCTCCCAAGTGCTGAGACTAAAGGCGTGTGACACCACCACCTAGCTTAGTTTACCATTTTCTATATCTACCACTTATTTAGTTACTCATCAATATTGATGATATAGGATGTTTCCTGTTTTGAAATAGTAATACCACAATAAGTATCCATATGTACCTATATATGGTTTTGTATTGGTATATAAGATTGCTACATCAGACAGTATATGCATTTATGTTTAAAGATCTTTATCCTTATTGCCAATTGCATTCTGAAAGGACTATTCAGTTTTTATTCTTATGACCACTGTGGAAGATGGCCCATTTAAACTCTCTAAGTCTAACCTAAAACTAATTCTGTCACCTATGACTATCAGGTTGTGTCTGGGTTCTATGCAACATCCAACTTGGGAACAGGTTCTGTTCACTAAAATTGGACGGCTCTGGTCATGTATTCTTTAATTAATATTCTGTCTGTCCGCTTACATAGAAACTAGCAGGGAAACAGGAGTGACATGAGGCAAGGCATTGCTTCCTACCTCAGGGCTCTGACAAGGCGGTCTTAACACAAAGCAAAAGCTGATCCATCAGAGGAAGAAGTAGCAGAAGGCAGAGGCTGGCTTCCTGTCAAACCATTTTTAGTGGTTTAGCTAAAGACCAACTCCCTGGTTTTAAGGAAGTTGCTTCAAAACTGAAAATCACTCCAAAACAGAGTATGGAAAAATCCTGGTTCCCCCACCCCAACAGGAATTTAGAGAACAGGATTTAGTTATCAGCATGCCTCTCTCTTCTTTTCTTTTTCTTCCTTTAATTTCCAAGAGAAAGAAACTTCCTAAGGAGAGGCAAAATCAGACAGACAGGGCGCTGGTGAGATTTGGAAATATACTAGCAAGAATAGGCTCTTGGAGTAAACCTGAAACTATTCACCCTGTTTCCCTGGACATCAATCATCCATAGTCACGTAGACGTGCAGGCTCCATCGGGACCCCAGGAGCATGATTGCTGAGTCACTCCCCAAATTCAGTGTTCCCAGTTCTGTAGGCGAGTGCTCCAAAGGGCATTAAAGGTTAGACAAAGCATTTCTCGCTTCTGTTAACTAAAAACAAGGACAGGGCAGCAAGGATAGCCACTTACTGGAACAGAGCTTTGCAGAGCCCTCGCTAGGCAGCCCTGGTTGTCACATCTCCTATGTATCATACAACTCCCAGGTTGCAAAGATCCCCCCTAGCCCCAACCCCAAAAAAATAGTACTGAAGATTCAGTCTCTGGATCCCAGGAATATATTCCATAATTTGGCAGATTTCCCTTGGCCTCTACTGGAATTAGCTTGATAGACAATCCCAGAATAACCTTCAAACAAACAACATCCCTGGCATGTACTGCCTGGCTACCTAAACCTGTATTTTGGGTTTGGTTATGTCAGTTTTACCACCCTTCTTTCCAGAACCATCTAACTGGGAGAGGTTTGTATCCTTTACAAGTACTTTCAGGCTGACCCTGGCACAGAGTGAATCTTTGGGGCTGGTGGGAGATTGTCATCCAAGCATGTGAAGGAGAGACCACAGAGCAACGGTGATAGAGAGAACATACAGAACTCTTGTACATGGACAATCTGTTTTTCTACACAGGAGCTGCCCATCAACTTTCCAGAAGAAAAACAAAACAGGTAATAGGGGAGAGGGCACTGAGAGAAAGGAAAACTGGAAAAGACAGTAAAACCAACATCCTTGGAGAAGGTATAGAAAAGAGACAGGACATTGGATGAGACAAAGGGAGGTGATAAAACGAAAAGAATCTTTAGTTTCTTGTGCCTACAGATCTTACTTTTCTCGTGACTTCAGAGTGACAGAGTTGTTTGCTCATGGTTCCCCTTATCCACAAAATACAGCTGAACACTTGTATTGTAGGTGAGCCATTCTGTGGCTCCCCAATGAGGAAGAGAAGTCCAGGGGAAAGTTCTAAGGTCTCAGGTCTGGAAGAGCTGAAAACCAATTGTGAGAGGCAGATTCATGTAAATCCGTAATGATAATGTCATCTACCAGTGCTATAACAGAATACAGAGGAAATACTGATGCCATGGGAATAACATCAAGTTCACAAGTCAGTAGATGAGGGTGCCAGCAGAGGCAGAGGAGTTAGCCCATGCAAATGTTCTGCGGGAAATAAATGGCTTGATTGAAAGTGGCCCAGTGGTATAGCTGAACACATACTACATTTTAGTAGTAGTCTGTTGACGCAAATGTCTTCTGAGGTACACTGTAGATTTCCCAAGGCAGAGGAAATAGCTTACTCATCCTTATCTCCCCAGACCATGGCCTAGCACAGTATGAGCTCTGGCTGGTGAGCAGGGAAGATGAAAGGTAGTACAGCCAGGTAGAGAATGGGCCAGATTGTATACCCTGGAACAGCGCCTGTGTGTAGATTAGTAGAAGTGAAAGAAGTAGGGATGCAGCCACAGAGATTCGCTAGACGCCCACTCCAACAGTAATAGACATGTGAAGAGCACAGTCTCAGTAGAGATGGCGAAGAGACAATGAGTTTAAGTTAGTTGGCTTTCTTCTTCCCCCACAGGGAGCCAAGCAAGATCCACATTGAGCATACTGAAGCAGCAACAGCTACAGCAGAATGGTACAAAGGTAATGACAGGGTTCTGTCCCCTCTCGGGCCCACTCAGATGTGGGATCCCACTGCTCAGTGTTTTCACCCTGAGACAAATTCATCTCAACCATCTGTAGAAATTGCCGCGTCAGTCTGGGGAGATGATTCAGTAGGTAAAGCACTTATGTGTGTGCAAGCCTGACTATCTGAGTTCAGATCTCCAGAACCAGCATCCAAAAAAAAAAAAAAAAAAAAAAAAAAAGCCAGAGACATCGGGAGAAATTTCTTTAATCCAAGCACATCCCTACTGGAAGATGGGAAACAGAGACAGGGCGATGTCTAGACACTCCCCAGCCTATTAGCCTGGCTTATGCAGCAGTGAACAAGAAAGACCCTGTCTCTAACAAGATGGAATGCAGGGATCCTCTCCCAAGGTTGTCTTCTGTCCTCTGTCCTTTACACACACACACACACACACACACACACACACACACACACACACAAACCCCTCAGTCTAACTGGCCCTGGATGGGCGGTGAGGGGGCAAACCAAAGCAAGCGCCTCTCTTAATTCTGTTGATTTCTACCAGGACTGTGAAGCAACAGGACCAATGTATGAGCAAGTGTTACACAGGCCTGTATCTCAAAAGAGAAGTTCAGACTCCACATCCGAGGAGAGCAATTTGCATTATGCGGACATTCATGTGCTCAGCCAAATGCAGCCACACTCTGACAGAAAGGTGAACCGCCTCCATCTAGAAACTGCTACAGAGTATGCCATCCTTCGCTTCCCCAAGGCCACACCTCGATATGACAGCAACAATGGAACTCTGGTGTGAGCCGTTTGAAGGAAGGACCAGATGCCACAATTTTACAGTTCTGTGGGGGACAATCTACTGTTTCTGAGAACAGGGATGTTGGCCATGTTTTAATCTTAAAGAACACCAGAACATCTAGCATTCTGGGTCCCCCTCGCTCTGCACTATGAATCTTTTGATTTGCCACTGTTACTGTGCAGTTGTGGTAAGGTTATGGGTGAGCTGAGTTCCAAACAAATATTTAAGTGTGCAAACAGTCGCGCTTTGACCCCCTAACATTATTTGGACTCTCAAATGCAGCAAGAGTCCTCTATGCACTTTGGCTGTTTCTGGTGGGACTTATTTAATGATATTTGGGGGTTTTGTCTTTATTTTTGTTTATTTGCTATGTAGCCGAGGATGGCCTTGAAATCCTGATCTATCCCAGTCTCCCACTCCCAGTTCTGGGATTACAGACACGTGGTCACTATGCTCAGCTAATCACATCCCCTTTACACACTTTTACTCCAAAACTGCAGAGGAAGCGTTCTGGAAATTTTTTCTGAGCCTTGCCACACAGCCTCGCGACTGCTGTGGGCAATTAATCTAGTAGCTGGGTCAAGGGCTCCAGACCTTAGCACAGAGATGGAAACAGGGACTGACTGATTGTAAAGTCTTTTCCGACCACCGGTCACAAGGACTTCAAATTGCAGACACTAACAGCCTGGAGAGGAAACTCTCCTTGCAGGACTGTTAGCACTCATCTGAAGAACCGGTAGGATGAATAAATAAATAGTACGAAGAACAGGCTGAGTGATTGTTCCTGGGGTTGGGTTTTGCAACGTGTCCCAGCCCACACTATGGAAAGGTCCAGCCAATGGAGATGCCTGCACGCCTTCTAGTCATCAGCTGGGATGTGGCTTGGTGAACAGAAGGCAAGCTCCCATTGGCTGAAGGCGGGAAGTGGGCGGGGCCATATGAAGATGTAAGGCTCAGGGAAGGAGCTGGCACGGGTTGTGGTCTGGACGCTAGAAGAAGGCAGGTCCTGAATGGGAGAGGCGGGTTCTTTGTCGGCTGGAGGCGGGGCCTGCAAGGCAGGAGGCAGGCCAAGGCTGCACTGGCTGGCTCTAGTCCCGGGCAGGCAGGCCAGACCTATGCAAACCTCCATGTCACCATGGCAGCAGGAACGCGCAGCTTAGAAGAATTGCCCTCCAGTTCGGAAGATGCTGAGCCAAACAGACCTATAATTTAAGAGGTAGGTGCCGAAAAGTGGTGGATAGCTGAAAAATATTACCACCTGTTGCGCATCCAGATCGGAAACATAGATGTACGGTTGGGGACAGGGTGCCTAAGGGGTTGGGGTGGGGGATGGAGGCAGACGTTTTGGGGTCTGAGCTCTCTCTGAACCCTGTGGAGTGTTAGTGTACAGTTCTACTTCAGACTTTAGAGCTTGGAGATGAGTTATAATTCATTTCCCTTAACCCATTGTACCACTCTCCCCAAACACATCTGTTGGTTCGTTAAGAGGGTGAGTCCCCGAAGACGAGTAATGACAAGAGAATTACAGCTCTCTCTCTCTCTCTCTCTCTCTCTCTGATAGTCAGTCTTGTAGTGTCTGTGTGAATTTATAACGGTTGTAATATTGCATACAATTCAGTCATCTTATCATCATCATTATCACCATCACTGATACAGCAATTGTTAGGCTTGTTCGCTGGAATAGACCTAGTTAATACAAGTGGCTTCAAAGAGGTGGGCTGGAAGATTACCTTCACTGAAAACTGTTGGAGCAACTCCTTCACTTATTCTCTGTGTGTTGTCTAGGGTAAACAAAATACTCCAAAGGTTCTTAACTATGAGGATCAAATAAAATGTTGTAGGTAACACTATGTAGATATAAAATTCTGTAGACAAATTGTGCCTTGGAATTATAAATGCTGGCCTGGAGAGATGGCTCAGTGGTTAAGAGCACTGGCTGTTCTACCAAAAGTCTTGAGTTCAATTCCCAGCAACTACATGGTGACTCACAAGTCATCTATAGTGGGATCTGGTGCCCTCTTCTGGCATAAAGTCGTAATGCAGATAGAGTGGAGACAGGAGTATCAAGAGTTCAAAGTCATTCTCTATTACATAGAAAATTGGAGGCCAGCCTAGGTTACATGGATCCCTTTCTCAATTCCCCACCTTCCAACTCAATGTATATGCTTTCTGTGGAGGTTAAAAGTTCCTGAGTATAAAAAACAAATTCCCAAAGAATGAAAGGTGTATCAGGAGTAGATCATCTGGTATGTCTTCTGGTTATCTGAATATATCCTGTTTGTTTGTTTGTTTGTTTTTACAAGTGTAGGAAAGATGGGGGGGGGAAGAAAACATCCTTCTTATTTCTGTGGAAACCTAAATTTAAGTTGTTTTAAAATGTCACCAAAGAACTAGAGAGATGGTTCAGATGTCAAGAGTGGCTACTGCTCTTCCAGAGGACCTGAGCTTGGTTCCCAACTTCAGAAGCTCATAACATTCAGTCATTCCAGCTGCAGGGGATCCATCCCCACCTCTTGACTCTGCAGTCACTATCTCCATCTCCCCCTACACACGACACGTAAATAAAAGAAATTGCAGCTGAGAAGACCCCATTGTGATTACAGTAACTTAGCTGCTCATCAGGGTCCTAAGACTAACACTTCAAGATGAGTTAAGCTGGGACCTGACTCCTACCAGGTTAATTTAGCTTTTGGAGTTTTCCCTCCTCCTATGTATTTTCACATATGGTCTTTTCCTATTTTAAGGTGGCCTGAGTCAGCTCTTCTAGGGATACTGAAGATGGGGACTCACGTGGTTATGAGAGTCTGTAACTCCACGATGCCTGGCACGCCCTCTGTAAGTTCTGGTGTATTGTCAGGAGTGTGATGATGACCTCACAGGAGTGTTGATGCTTCTCCGCCTGGAACAAGATATTTGCCTTCCTTTCTTGCTCCTCCTCCTTGTAGAAATCCTAGCTCACTTGAGCATCAATTCATTACCTTTTCCCTGGAATTACTAAAACCAGACAGAGATTGGAAAACTCTAGCTGTTAGTCAGTATACATGCATTGTTTAAAGTACAGTTTGTTAAAAAATAATGTTAATTACAGCACACTTGAAAAACAAGGCAAATTATGATTAAAAAGTATAAAACTAACCCATAAGTCTCCTATCCAAAAGCAAACTGTGAATATTCTAACACTTATTCTTCTAGTCTTTTCATCTATTCAAATTTTTTCATTGCTATATTGTTATATACAAACTTTGATATTGTTAACCTTGTGATATGTATATTTGTCTCTCATTTTCATTATTTTATTATTTTATTTTATTGTATATGTTTGGGTGTTTTTCCTTCATGTATGTCTATGTACTACATGCCTGGTGCTGACAGAGGCCAGAGGAGAGTGTTCAATCCTGTGGAACTGGAGTTACAAACAGTTGAGAAACACCACGTGGCTGCTAGGAATAAACCCTGGGTCCTCTGGAAGATCAGCCAGTGCTCGTAACAGCTGAGTCATCTCATCTCTCCAGTCCCTGCCAGACTGACTTTTTGAGGCAGCGTTCGCTATGTATCCTAGTCTGGCATTAAAATACTGTAGCTCAGGCTGGCCTCAAACATGAGGCACTCCTCCTGCTGCCTCGGCCTTTGGAGATATGGAATTGTATGCACTACCATTGGCCATAATCATCTTGACCATTTCTCAGCCCCTTTTTGTTGAACTTCTAAATCTCTCCACCACACACATTGAAAATAAGCAGCTTGGGGGCTGGAGAGATGGCTCAGAGATTAAGATCCCTGACTGCTTCTGTGGAGGACCTGGGTTGATTTCCAGCACCCACATGGCAGCTCACAGCTACCTGTTACTCCAGTTCCAGGAGATCTGATGCCCTCTTCTGACCTCTAAGGGGACCAAGAACACATGTAGTGAATGGACATGCAGAAAAATATTCATATATTTAAAAAATAAAATAAGCAACTTAAGACTACTTGAAAACATAGGAACATTTTTTTCAACAATGGATTGGTATTTTATTTTTGTCCCTTTAAACCATACTTTATTATGTATGACAATACAATTTACATATTAAATAATATTATATTAGAATTATTTGATATAATTTTAATAAAAGACTTTATATTTAATTTTTTACTTATATGTGTTTGGATGTGGATGTGGATGTGGATGGGTGTTGGAAATTGAACGGGAACTCTGATCCCTTGCAATGGGTACTGTTAACCTTTGAGCCATCTCTCCAGCCCAGATATAGTCTTGTTTTTTGGGTTTTTTGTTATTGTGTTTAGAGACAGGGTTTCTCTGTGGAACCACCCTGGCTGTATTGGGACTAGCTCTGTAGACCAGGCTTGCCTCAAACTCACAGATTTCTGCCTCTACCTCCCAAGTGCTGGGATTAAAGGTGTGTGCTATCACCACCTGGCCAAGACATAGTTTTAAACAGAAGAAAAAAGGGAGAATATTCAGGGTTCAGAACCCTTAAATGTTTTTCTAAGTGGATCAGCACAACAGTGTCAGTGATAAGTAATGTCTAGTTCCTACTGTACTAATGGTCGTGGAGTTGAAAAGAGTCCAGCTTTCACAGCCACTCTCTTGGAGGAAGAACACATGCTGGATTGTTTTTCAATGCAAAAATTGTTCTTGTTGCTTCAGTACAAAGCAAGTTGGTTCTCCATATAAGTAGATATGAGCATTTTACAGAATGAGTAAAGGAAGAATTGTGATTCCAGATTTTGTGTACATCCTTCAGAAAGCAGCTGAATGTCAACAATCTGAGATGTGAAGATCCTGGGTCCTCATGAAATATTGGGTTTTGCTAGTGCAATTAATAGCGGTGAGGCCAGTGGTGATTGGCAGTGTGGAAGGAGCACTTAAGGTATTTCCTAGTAGAGAGACCCAACGGTCACTTCCAAAACATCCATCAGATGTCACTGTCTTGATCTGACTTTCAACTATGGGATATTTGGCAGACAACTTGGTGTGTGAGTTAAAAAAAAAAAAAAAAAAAAAAAAAAAGGTGTAGAGTACATTTGCATATCTGATTTGGCATGGTTTATATTAAGCACTGCCATCTGGTGGTTACTTTGGCAACATTCTACCCTAGTCTCTCACAACTGTGTCTTGTTCCTTCTGCACGTCTCTGGCTGTCACAGACACCCTGTGCACTCTGTACCCTCATCTAGACTCATCTGATGCTGAGTTCTCAGTTTTCCTATTCTTTCCTCCAGCTTTGTTTCTTGTCTCAGTATATGATGTGAATATAAGTGGATCTTTCAGTTCCTCAGTTTTTTTTTGCTAAAAGAATAGGACCTGGCACATAAACATATAATAGGGACCCAATATAAATTTAATGAAAGACTCCACAGGCAAAGGAAAAGAAAATACCAGAGGATACCACAAGTTTTATTTGGCTTGCAAATACCATAAGAGACAAAGAAAGACCCATCCTTAGGTTAACTGTAGGGATGAACAGATGGAGTACTGAAGTACTAGACCTTTGGATTTATTTATATGTTTTTATTTTTTTTTCCAGTGCTGGGGATTGAACTTGGGTTCTCACACACACCAAACAAACACTATACCAGTCAGCTACATATGCAGGCCTTGTACAACATTGACACGTGGTCTTATTAAGTTGCCAGACTAAATTGAGTTCTCTGGAGCCTACCTTGACCCTGGATTTGTGAACCTCCTGCCTTAGCTTTCCAAAGAGCTAGGATAATAGATCAGTACTATTAGGCTTGGCCTAGACTTTGGATTTTTTATTTTAT